CGCTCGCGTCCGCGCCGAGTGCGCTTCCTCAGGGAGCGCTGAGCTGCGGCGCCTGCTGTCCGGGGCCGCGCGCGGAGGGCGGGATCGGGGCCGTGGAGTCCCGGGCCAGGCCGGCCCTGCTGCAGCCTCCTGCTGCAGAGTTTTCTTTGGAAAGTTGCGTTTATTTCTTCCCTTGTCTGGGCTTCGCCCGAAAGGGGCAGATGAGTCACCACGGCGCGCACAGTTCACAGTTAGGGGGAGTCCGAGAAGGGGCCTCCGGTTGGGCGCCGTGGTCGGGGACAGAAGGGGGACATAACTTTCTTGGCGGTAGAATTGGGGCAAGGCTTTGGTGGAGTTGAGGCTGGATTGGTGAGTGTATGTGTACACGCGCGATTCTGTGTGCCCCTCCTCTCTGCCTCGGTTATTCTCCTGCGGAGGGGCAAGCAGCGCCGTCTGTGACTCCTGTGTCCCAAGGTTCAGGTAGGAATGGGGAATACTCTGCGGTTCTAGAAAGCGCTAGGCGGGCGGCAGCACGCCCGTTGGAGAAACCCCAGGAGCCTGAAGGCTCAGCCCTCCGCTGGTCTCCGCTCCCCTCCAGGGAACCCTGTGACTATTCTCTCCCTTGACCTACGACTCAGCCCACTCCTTCGTGACACGCACTTGACTCGTCCAAGGCCACGGGGTACCCGGTGCTTCCTCTTTCCCCAGGAGTCTTGAGTTGGAGGTAGGAGGAGTTTGGTCCCGTGGGTACTTGGAGAGAACTTGATATCCAGCTGTGACAGACCCTATCCCAGCTAAGTTGAACTTTGAATAGCCCAGTTGGGGCCTTGCAGCCAGGCGTGGCGTAGACACGGGGGTTCAGAATGACTCTTGCTGGGCTCCTGGAAGCTTTATTCGGTAGGGAGGGTGAGATTGTTGGCGTTTCCTAAGCGTGAAGCACAATTCCTTTCCCAGAATGACAGCTTCGGTGTGGGTCCACGTGCCTAAGGCGTGGGGAACAGGTTGACATATGGAGCTGGGAAGAGGAGGGGCCCAAGAACTATATGCTGAACAGGAAACCTCAGAACCTCACAGAGCTCCAAATCCTAGGAAGTAAGAGGGACATGTTTGAAGCCTCCGGCCCTTCTGTTGGATCAGTTTCATCCCCTCATTCCTCCCTTATCTCCCGCCAGCTCCAGCTCCAGGGCTGTCCTGGAAGCAAGACTGTACTAAAAGTGCCCAGAGAGTGGGGCTTGACTCACTGGATGGGTCTAAAGATAACGACACAGCTCTGGACACACAGGCCCCAGTTAGGGTCTTTTCCAAGCTGAGCTTTCCTACGCACTTTTTGGGTGGAGGGTGAAATCCACCATCCCTCTGGTTCTCTGAGTAACCTGTAGGAGCTGGAAGAGGAACTGGACAAGGTCCCTGGGTGGTCCACTATGCCCCGCAGGCTTCTGGGTACTGGTCCCAAGCTGGAACAGAGCCCTGGGAAGAGAACGGTAGGTGGGGGGGGGGGGGGGGGAATGAATGGTTCAAGGTCACCGGAAGTAAGTGGGAACCAGTGGACCCTTACAGCACTGGGGGGGAGGGGGGAAGGTGTGTGAGAACACAGACTGCCCGGAGAGGCGGCTTTTCCATCGCCCCGTTCAGCTCCACCGGCTGCGCTCCACTAGCCTGCCAGTTGTGCTAACTTTTCGACGTTGCTGCGAAATGGGGACGGTGATGATAATGACCATGCCCTCTGTACGGCTTTGTTATTTAAATTAATTACAGCACATAAATAGCGCTAAAAAGATACACACAGTCTAAACATATAACTTCATCAAATAACATATATAGAATTTAACTGTGTGTCTTTAGCCCAGCCTGATGGCCTACACCTGTAAACTCAGCACACTTGGGAGGCAGAAGCAAGAGGATTAGGACTTCCAGGCCAGTCTCGTGTATAGGTAATGAGTTCCAGACCAGCCTGAATTATGTGAGATTAAAATAACAATAACCCCCCCACACACACACACACACCGGCAAAACAAGCAAACCCATTTTGTTATGTCTGAAAATGCAGTAAATGCTCAATGCACGCTAGTCTGAACTGTTATATTTATCACCCGTGTCTGGATGGTCTGCAGCGACTGGTCTGAGACTCTTTGGGGGAGGGGGGGTCCTGCTGTTTTTGTGACAGTGTCTGTGGCGCTCAGGCTGCTCTTGAACTCGCAACTGTCTTGAGCGCTCTAGTGCTGGGATTATAGGTGTATACCATCACGCCCAACTTGGGCCCTGCTCTTTTTATATTTTTTTTTAAAAAAGCTGCTGTCTTAGACTTCTTTAGACTCCTGTCCCTTTGGGAAGTTTGTTCAAGTCACTAAGGGACTTGGCCCTAGCAAGTGGCTCAGATCCCATTTCCTCCAAAGTGAGTTGCTGGCCTCCTGACTGTGCTTTCTCCTCCACAAAGCAAGCATAGGAGGACCTGCCCTCCAGGATTTCGGGATTAAGGAGACAGCCACAGGTAAACCTCCTCTGTGCAGAGCGGCTGCTGCTTATGGAGCTAAATGTCAGCTGCTGCTGTGTGCAGGCAATCATGGTGGATTAACTTAGAAACTGGTTTCTTAGCCAGGAACTGTCACCATATATTACCATACATAAGCCATGGGGAGCACATTTGCAGCTGAGTTTTGGGACCGGTGCAAAGAACAAACCAAGACTGGGTGGACATCTAGAGCTCTTGCCCTCTCTGTACTTTCTGACGTGTTCTATGATTAGTGTAGAAACCACTGCCTACCTCCCTCCCTCCCAGGAGTGTACTCAGTCTGGAGGAGGGCACTGGGAGGTAAGGGAGTGAATGCGTGCCCTGAAAGGTTAAGAGCCTTCTGTGTAGATAGGTTCCATGTTTTAGGAAGACTGTGGGGAGGGTGCCCTGAAGTGAGAACTCCTGTCTGTCTTCTCTTTCCAGCCTTTGGGGCCTTTCACTCTGCACTCTGGTATCCACGAGGAAAGCCCAGCCTAGCTAGCTTTCTAGGCTTTCATTCTGTCAGAGTTAGATTGCAGTCCTCCCAGCCTAACTTCCTATGAAAAGCCAGTGGCCCTGTTTGCTGGACAGTGTGTGTGGAGGCTGGACCAGTTGGTGCCAGGCCCAGCATCTCAAATGCTGATGCCACTTGACTCCCGGCAACAGAGCTGGAGTACTGAGCTTTGTCTAGTGTATTGAGTGTTGCCTGGGGGTGGGGTGGGAGGGGGAACAGGGGCAGTGACGGAGCCTTATCAGCGTCCTGATCTTTGGCCAGAATTACCTGTTTAATTCCATTTTCTGCAACAGGGTCTGTGTTTCTTCCTCCTCCGCTGAGGGACTGGAATGGGGAGCCCTGTTAATTCCGAGGTTGAAGGTGTGATCCTGCCCACACTGTTGACTTGATTTCTCTGTTAGGTGGAGGTTCTAGTCACCCTGCAAGGCTGTGGTGGGAATTAGATGTGACATATGTCAGCAAAATCTACATAAACCAGATACTCAAAAAAATGTTTGTTCGCCTTCCCCAAACTCCGGACATCACTTTCGCTGGGGCGCTGGGACAAGCCCGAGTGAAGAAGGTAGGAAGAAACTCTTATCCTCGCCGCCACTGGTCATCAAACCCAGGCCAGGCTAAATGGCCAGCCAGATGGGGTACCCTCAGGGCCAGCCAGCTCCCAACAGCAGTTCCTCTCCCTAGAGGGCCGTCAGCACCCCCAAGTATCTAATCACAAGTGTACTTGGAGCTAGCAAATAATAGCCAAGCTAGGAGCACTTTATCACTGTAGGGGTATAGCCATGTAGATTCTCAGCTCCTGTTGCTGGAGATCTGTGCACCCAGATGCCCGAGAGTGCCCTGGCTCACTCTTAGGCTCCCTCATCCAGCCAAAAGATTCCTGTCTTGGTCTGCCCTCTGGACCCCCAGTGCCTGGGCTGTGCTCTGCTTCTTGCTGTCTGGACTCCACAGGGTGGGTGCCATGGGAAAGGTGCCAGCAAGCCAGAGACTTCTGGCGGACCAAATGCAGAATCCAGACTCGTGTCTTAGTTGTGGCAAAGAGTTGGGGGAGAGAAAGTACATAACATCTTGGGGTTCAGGGGGTCCTGGAGGATTAGGTGTAGGACTTGAGCTGGAGGGTTCAGGTGATGGGCAGAGGCTGCTCAGAAAGGGGAAACAGCTAAAAGCAAAAACCAGCTAAGTGCCAGTGAATTCCTCTGCCTTGGGCCCAAGGAGGTGTGACCATCTAGGACACACCGATCTGAGAGCCGGATCTGAGATCAGAACCCAGTGGTGTGGCGTGGTTCTCATGTTCTTTCCTGTATACCACACTGGAGAGGGGCCAGGAGGAGGGCTGGCTGTGTTTGGAAATCCCAGGCTCCAGGGGCTCTGTGCCCTTTGTGTGCAGCACCTGCTTACCTTCTGTGACTCAGCCACAGGTCCACTTCCTCCAGGAAGCTCTGACTCCGACACTGCCGTGCCCCCTACTCGCTGGCCTGTGCCTTAGCACTTACACCACCTGAGCTGCGCACGGATTGCTTTTCATCAGCTTTCTCTGTCCTGCTAAGTAGAGCTATAATCAATTATTTCTGTGCCTCCATCACTTTCACTGGTGTGGGGGGATGGTAAAGAACTCAGCTCTGTGACTACTGATGGGCGTGTTTTAGGGCTCTTAGACATTTCTTTTTTTTTTCTCCTTGACATCAGATTTCTCTGTGTAGCCCTCACTGTCCTGGAACTACTGTGTGTGTAGGATAGCTTCGAACTCACAGAAATCCACCTGTCTCTACCTCCCGAGTGTGGGGTTAAAGGTGCATGCCACAACCACTCTCTTTGACATTTCTTTAGGGGTCCTTAGGTTGCATGTTGAGGTGTACTTCCTCCAAGGGTGGGTAAACCAGCTTCCTAATGTTCCCTTTTGGGATCTGTTCTTAACCTTGTTCACCTGCGTGACTGTTTTTTCCGGGCCTGGGATCAACTATAAGCTATGTAAGCTGTCCCCGCTGAACTAGATCCTCAGGGTGCTTTGTTTTTGAGACACGATCTCACTGTGTAGCCCGGGCTGGCCTAGAACGCACCATGAAGACCTGGCTGACCTCACACTCATGGAGATTCCTCTGCTTCTGCGGGGACTAAGAATGTGTATCACCATACCTGGCTATTTTTTGTTATCTCTTTTGAAACAGGGTCTTGCCATGTAGCCCAGGCTGTTCACAAACACGCAGTCCTCTTGTCTCAGCCTCGCTAATGCTAGGATTCTGGGTGTGTCCCTCGTCTCTGAGACTACACTTCCACAGAACTGACTGCCCTAGATCCCTCTCATTACAGATAGACTGATCACAGACCTGAGTATGTCAGGGTAGAGAGAGGTCACCAGACTTACGATCCTGGAGGTAGGGCATCCAGAGCACTCTGCCCAGGGCTCTCCTCAGCCCTGAATTTGGCTCAGATGCTCAGCCCTGGCCTCTTTCTTGTGCTCCTCACCTCTAGAAAGAGGCCAGGCTAAGGGAGAGGACTCCGATTGGCTGTGTGCACCATGAGAAGAGCTGCCCAGTCTGGCCTGGCTGACGGACAGGTGTCAAGTTCACTGAGAGAAAGACTGTTGAAGTTTCACTTTGCAGAGGCTCTGAAAGAGTGGGAGGGAACTTCTGAGTGGCCTGGAGACTGTGCCGAGACCCCCGTTACTCCCTTGGTTCTCTTCCTCCTCTGTAGAGGACTTCAGGACTTTTTAGCACTCTGTTTTTATTGTGGACCAAGAACAGAAAGAATTTAGTTACTGATTTCTGCCAGGAACAGAGTCCAGCTCCAGGAGAGAGGAGCAAAAAGGGCAGTTCTGTCCCGGCGCCCTGCTTACTCGGCTGCGTTTCAGGTGACTTCTGACCTTGGCATAGTGCTGGGATCTGAGCTGTGTGTGGACGGGCCTCATGGGGTAAGTGCTGCTGGGGAGCTCTTCACCTCATCCCCCTGACTCGTGGAAGACCAACTGTGACTAGCCCCTCCCTGATGCCCTGCAGCCTTGTCAGGGGACACCTGCCCATGAGATCACCCTACCCGAGTCTCAGGACAGGTGCTGGGTCACCTCACTGTGCACTGGAGGCTAACAGATTAGCTCTCTTGTTTTACAGGTATGGAAACTGAGTCCTAGGGCGGTGAAATGACTTTCCTGGGTTACACAGCTATCAGTGGTGCCAAAACAGGACTACATCTTTCTGGCTCGCCGTTCAAAGTGTCTTCCTGAATGTTTTGAATGGTTGCAGATTTCCTGGTTTTAGGTTTTCCAACCTTGGAGGTTCTCTGAAACTGAAGTTTGCTTCTTGGGAAATAGGAATATGAAATAGCAAGTCTGTATGGTAGACCTTTATTAAGAGATCTACCACGCTCCTGGCATGTACTCAATGTCCGCTGGGCAGTTGGTCGGGTTAGCTATTGTCATCATTGTCCCTGTAGATGGAAACAAGTGTCTGGTAACCATGGGACAGCCTTCCCTCGGCAGCAGATCTGTGGCACTGACCTTGCCTCACCTGTTGGGGCCAGCACCTGGGAAGGCGTTTACATTCTTGGCATTCCTCTTGCCACTGGGGGCTGCTGGGATCTGGTGAGAGGCCTTGTAGATGGGGGAAGAGGGGAAGCTGAGGAGAATGGATCTTTTCAACCTCTATGTTAGGTCATGAGAAAGCCCCTCCCAGGTTCCCTCCACCGAAGGCCCTTCTTAGCCTTTTTCTCACATGACTTCGAAGTAGTTGGCTTGTAAGTTTTGGGTTTCATGGTGCTCAGGCTGGAACTCCGGAACATTCTGCATGCTAGCACCCTATCCCTGAGCCATCCCTGCAGCCTGAAGTCAGCGGCATGAAGTTCCTTCTGTGAAACGGGCATGCTAGTTGCACCCCTAATCACCCAGTAGCTAGCTGGCGGAGTAAGCTGATTGGAAGTGGGGCTGGCGTGCATGTAGCCAACAGTCACACGGGCTAACTGCAATTACAAACTATAGATGTGGAAACTAAGGGTCAGAAGGTCAAGTTACAAGCAGGCAGAAACTGGCATCCCCCAAAAGCTGGGTTACTGTGGAACCTACCAGGGTGCAGGAGAGCCCCAGGGATGGAAGAGGGTTCCTTCTGGTAGAAGACTACTGCTTGTCCTGGTATGGAGAACACATACAGTGTGACCGTGGGTGGCAGCTGTTGTCAGCGATGTAGCCTGGAAACAAACGCACGTGTGTGCTGACTGTCACCAGGGCCGCCCAGGAGACCTAAGGGTACTGCAGCCTCAGCCTGGGCTGGCCAGGACTGTCTGCTGGCCAAGGTGAGGTTCAGGCCAGCCCCAGAGTCCTTGTCACTAGATTGGAGAGGGGAGGGGAGGGGAGATCAGCGCGGCCTCCAGGGACGGGCTTGTTACCCCTTTCCCTCCCCTTCCCCCAGGCTCTAGCATTTGTTTCCTTCCGAAGCTGCGCTGGGCTCTTAGACACCGCAACAAAGGCCACTTTCCTCCAAGCTACTGCCACCTGTTGGGTTTTCACACATTTCGAGGGAGTGGGGGGAGGGAGCCGTTGCCCTTTTCCCAGTGTCTCTGGTGTGCCCCCGCTGCCCCCCCAGGGCCTGGGATTCTCTTTGCTGCCTGGTTGTGACAGGACTCCGGAGCAGGAGGAGGTGGGGGGCCAGCAGCAGCTGGAAGGGGAACTGAGTGGGAAGGGGCCAGAGCTGGCAGCGGGGGAGAGTTTGATGGATTACTCCGCAGGCCCAGAGGTTTCTCCCTAATCCCCCTTTGTGTCCCGGCCTGCAGCCCCTCACTCTCTCTGACAAGCTGCTGAGCAGAAGGCTTCTAGTCTGAAGGAAGAAAAGGCAGCTCAGCAGGGTGAACTCTAAATCCCTGGCCTCCCAGCCACGGGGGAGGCAGGAGCTGGGGAACCTGCCTGGGGTGGGGCCGGGTCCCCCTTCCCTCTGCCCAGCCCTTGTTCTTTGTTAGGGTGCCCTCAGAGTGGCGAGGTTGTCTTGTGAGGGGGTCCTTGGATGCCTGTGAGGTTCTGCTGCTTGAGTAGGTCACTGTGGAGTTTTTCTTGAGTGGGAGGGACAAGGGATAAACAGACCCTCCCCGTTTGGAAATAGCGGGTCCCAGAAAGCCAAAGACCAGTGGTAGGCTGGGAGGTATGGGGGCTCAGTGGTTCTACGCTGCATCCCCATCCCAGCAGCCCAGGTAGACATTTCCACAGCACCTGCGTGAGGTCTGTAAGAAAGGGCTCTAAAAAGCAAGCTCGGCGCCTCAAGGTGTCTCTAAGTTTCCTTATGAAGCTACCATGAGGATACAGCTGTACTTGGGGCTGTGTACCAAGTTTTACTAGGCAAGGCTCAGGACATTGGTCTCCTGGGACTGAGGCATGGGTATGGGCAGTAGGGGTGTTGCGCTGGCAAACAGTCAGACCCCAGAGGGTCATCTTCTTGCTGCCAGCCTCAAGGGTCTGCTCAGTGTGGAACAAAGCACTGAATCCAGTCCACTGTGGAGGAGCAGGGGTCCCTACCTCCTTTCCCTCTGGCCTTGCCTGGAGCGGGCCAGAGAAGTTGAACTGGGGTGCTCAGCCCCTTCCTTTGGCTGTGCCTGGTGCGAGACAGTCCCTACCAGGTTTCTCTCTCCGGGAAGGACGGTGGGTTGTGGTGCCAGCTAGAGAAGTGTGTTCTGAGTCTCCAGCGGACCCCGTCTGTGAGAAAGCAGCCCTCTTTGTGAGTGTGAAGGGGAGGACACAGGGTCGCAGAGCCTGCGGGGTCAGTGTGAGGGCCGAGGCTGTTTGATGTGCCTGGGCGGGGTGTGGGGACTCCGGCATGCATAAAGAGGCCATAGAATTTCTGTGTGACAGTGGCGGGGCGGGGCCTGTCTCAGACTCTGCTGGCTGTGGCCTCTGTCAGCAGAGGGTATCTGCTCCGCCAGGCCACCTCAGCCGTGCGGGGTGGCAGGAGCCCCTTTGAAAGCCCTCAAAGGCCTCTTTATGTCGCCTCTGATCCGCCCTTCCCCTATGGAGCCTTGAAGGACAGGGCTCACTTGGGTCACTTTCCTGTGCTGGCCTCCACTCTGCCTTTTGAGTTTTGGACAAAGTTCAGGCCAAGTTTGTTCCTGTGACTCAGTTTCGCTTCCCTAGGCTGCCTGCTGGGGGTGAAGTGGGGGTATTCTGGGCCAGCAGGATCTATCTGTCTTAGCCCTCACTGGGTTTGTGGCTGGGCATGTTATAGGTGTGTTTGGGAGGAAGACTAGGTTTTCCATCCTTACCCACACCTCTGCTGAATCTGTTCATCCCTTTGCACACACATTTCTCAGGTCCCTAGTCTTGCTGGGACGTGTGTCAAAGAGTTGCCTGCCCTGGGGCTTGGTGCTGCATCTTGAGGTTCATAGAATTGTTAAGAGTCCAGGTTCACTGACACCCCCATGCCGCCTTTTTAGGCTTTAATTCTGATCCCTATAGGGATGAGGGAGAATGGCTTAGGGAAAGCTTCATGAAGGGTCCTAGTGGTTTCTCCTGGCTGTCTCGCTGTCTGGCCATGAGGACCCACAGAGGAGGAGGGCGAAGTGTGAAGCGTGAGAGGAACATCCGCACCCGCACCGCGAGGCTGCTCATGCTTATCCTTCCTCCCCTGACCTGGTCAGCCTTCCTCCGCCTTCCTCTTCCTGCCACCCCCTCTCCAGGTGAGCAGCTGGCTCTGCGGGTTGATCTCCTGTTTGGCAGACCAAGCTTCTGCAGAAGTTGTGGGGAAAGCACCTGAATCTGAAAGTCTCTGATGAGAAGAAAATGGGGGAGAGTTAGACCCTGTCACCCTGCCGGTGTTCCTTAACCCAGGAGGATGAGGGAGCCCGGACTGAAAGGGGCAACTGTGATCTGTCCCTTCCCAGCTTTGATGAGAGCACACTCTGGTGCTGCCGCCAGAATGGTACTGGGTTTCTGTCTCGGTACCCGGGGCAGAGGGACCTGTGGGTAATTGTGTCAGCTGGAGTCAGGGCATGGGGGCCTACAATAGGGTTGGCAGACCCGTATCAGGGCGGCAGTTGAGGAGGGTGGGGCAATGAGGTAAGAAAGTAGGACTTTGGGGGGCTTAGAATTCCTTGGATAATTCTGGACTCAGAAAAGTTGGGCCATCAAGAGTGTTTCTCCTTCCAGAGCAGAGAAGGTATAAAAAGAGGGAGGGCAGACTCAGCAACCAAAGTACAGAGGCCTGGGAGCCTGTCTGCCTTATACCCCACTCATGTCCATGAATTAATTGTGTGAGCCCCTGGCCGGACCCCAGATACCAGGTAGAGAATCTCAGTGGGGTGCAGAGAAGCACCCTAGCTCAGAAGCTGCCTGGACTGCAGGAGGATGGGGGAATGCTTGTGTTCCTATTTTTCCGGTGGCCTAAGAACTCCCCACTCCCACTCCCAGAAGTGCCCAGGGGACTGAGGGAGAACTGCCTTACGGGAAGGCAGGCAGGTGGAGTGACCTGACTAATGGAGAAAGCAGGACTTGGAGAATAAGGGCAGGTTTATGGGTGAGGTTGGGTCTGGCAAAGTCTCTGTTTGCTCAAGGAGGACCTGGTCTCTTAAACCCAGTGCAGGAGAGTGCCCAGTCCCTCCCAGGCCGAGCGAGGGTGGGGAGTAGAATGGCTAGAAGTCTTTTACCCCAGAACCTGCCTCTCTGGGCTGGAGAACTTTCCCTCTGTATCACTAGGGAAAGGGCAGGGGTCAAGTTGAACCCAAGTAGCCCAGCTAACACCGATGACGGTCGCTGCTTCCGCTTCGGGACTGTGTGGGTCAGTATTTTATCTTCCTTTTTCATGCTGCCCTCTCATAAACCTTACTGTAAACCTTTCATAAACCCTTACCAACCAACGTGTAGGGACTTTGGGGAGGGAGCTGCCAGGTTGCCCAGATTATCTCAAGTTCTGTATTTCCTGGTTTTCCAGCCGCTGAACTCCAGGGGGCCAGCGTGGAGTAGACAGACCTTCCTCAGTTAGATGGTGTCTGGTCTCCGAGGCACAGCTCAGCACCTACTGCAAGCTTTTTCACTCACAGGGTCCCCTGGGGTGGGGGCACGGAGCCTGGTGTTAGTGGAGAAGATAAAAGGAGTGCCTTTTATCAGGAGCTGGTTGTTGGCAGAGGGGATGTGTGGAGGGAGCTGCAGCCTCTCTTCAGCAACATTTATAGGGTTGACTGGTGAGGAGTGGAAAGGTGTGTCCCAGTGGGGTATAGTGGCAAGTTTTGTTTCCTCTTCCTCTGTTGGGGTAAATGGAGGTTGGCAGGCTCTTAGCTTTTCTCACCAGGGCCTGCCCCCCTCCCCCCGTCTTTTAGTACATTTTGTTGCTTATTTGAAATTTCCCCTTTCAATCTTTAAAAACCATTTGCTTGTGTGTGTGTGCGCGCGCGCGTGCGTGCACGCACGCGTGTGTATATGCGTGGGTGTGTGGCGCTGCTGCAGGGTTGAACCCAAGGCTTTGCACATGTCAGACAGTTTCTCTACCTCTAAGTTGCACGCAACCCCTTCTTTAATATTGGGGCTCACTATGTAGTTCAGGCTGGCCTCAAATTGATGATCCTCCTGCTTCAGTATTCCAAGAGATGGAACTGTATGTAGGACTACTTACTCACCGTGCCCTTCTTTCATAGTTTGCGTAGCAGGCAGCAGTTGTGCCTGTTGGGAAGCAAGACCTGGCAGTTACTCACTCAGTGAACCCAGTAACTACAGAGGGACTGTGAATGGAGGCCAGAGGTCAGCTAGGAAGTGATGGTGTCCCACTAGCTCGGGGCTCATCGGCATCATCTCAGATGCTACCAATCAACACATAGGGCTGAGATCTAGGATCCTGTGCTGTGAGGCTGCAGTTTAGGAGCCGTCCCAGCTGGTTGGGACAGTTGGGCAGTCATATATGGATTGCACTGTCCCCCACCTCCTGGAACAATGAACTTGAGCTCACGTTCACCGTGAGGAACTCTGCGTCTCAGTGACAGGTTGAAGCCCCACGTAAGGAACTGTCCTCTTCTTCCCTCATGTCTCTGGCCTGGGGCATGGGGGTTACAGTGTGACATGCATGGCTCAGGGCCTTGGGGCAGAGAAGAGGAAGCGCCACTTTATCGTTTTGCTTTTTAACAGGTTACACGAGCTTAATTATGTGTGTGCTGTGTGTTCTTGTTTGTGTGAGTGGAGGCCAGAGGTTAGCTAGTGGATGTCTTCCTTGACGCTCTACTTTTTTTTTTTTTTTTTTTTTTTTTTGAGACAGGATCTGTCATTGAACCTGGAGCTCACAGATTGGCTAGGCTGTCTGGTCGATGAGTTAGAGCTGCCAGCCAGGCTCCACCCCAGCACTGGGACTGTAGACAAGTGAGGCCACACTGGCTCTTATATGGTGCTGGAGATCGGAATTTAGATCTTTATGTTTTTGTATCAGGCACTTTGCCAACTGAGCCTCCACCCCCCGCCCTCGTCTCAAAGTATTTGTGTGTGTGTGTGTGGTATGTGTTCATGTGCATGTGTATCGGTGTGTGCAAAGGCCAGAGATTGATAATCAAATGTCCTCTCCTATTGCTCTCCGAGTTATTTTCTGGGACCAGGTCTTCACTGGAGCTGGGGGTCACTGACTCAGCTGGATGACCCTGGGATCGTCCTGTTTCTACCTCCCAGCCTGAGGGTTACAGATGTACATTACCGTGTCCAGCTAAAAACCTGCTGGGAATCTCAACTCAGCGCCTCATGTTTGCACAGTAGACACTTGGCCGAACCACCTCTCAGCTCCAGAACTGTCACATTTAACAAAAATTGAGTGGCCCCATCTTGGGAAGTTGGAGAGAAAAACAAATGAGTTGGGCCCGGCAGAGGGTGTCCACCGCCACCTTGAGAGCCAGTCCTGAGTTTCTCCAAAAAGGGCAATTGTGGAGATGCTTCAAAAAAGAGGAAATGACATCTGCTTGGCCTTGGTGTGCTGGCGTTCAAATGTCATTTTCTCTTCTAGCAATGCTAGACTAGTATTAACATGGCTTTCCTGACAGAGTGACTGGGTCGGGGGCAGCTGAGCGGAGGGCTACCTCACTGGCCTGCAAAGGAGCAGGCTTCAGAGAATGTGAAGCAAACGCTGCAGATCTGGTGCCCGGCTCCCAACATTTCATGTGACTGTGATTGTCTTACCCTTCTAGGATCTGACTGATGAGATATGTCCCCATCAAGGCACTGCATGATGACACGTGTTTAGCGTGGGATGAAATGCTGCACGGGTACCAAAGGGCTGACGGAAATGGGAGTCTGGCTGAACCCTAGGAAGTTGGTGGTAGCGAGGAGACGCCATGGCAGGGCTGAGCCAAAGCAGCTGTGGAGGATGTGAACGGCCCCTGAAGCCCTAACTGCTCTGTCCATCATGATCCAGAGGCTGTGGGCCAGCCGCCTGCTACGGCATCGGAAAGCCCAGCTCCTGCTGGTCAACCTGCTGACCTTTGGCCTGGAGGTGTGCCTGGCTGCTGGCATTACCTATGTGCCGCCCCTTCTGCTGGAAGTAGGGGTAGAGGAGAAGTTCATGACCATGGTGTTGGGTGAGTCTCTCCGCCTTCCTTTTCGTCTGTTATAGTACATACAACTGGACCGTAGGCAGCAGATCTCTTGCCTGGGAGAGGGTGGGAGGCATTGCCTGCTCCCGTTTACACCAGCCCTTGGGGACAATCCACTTAACACACAAGGAAAGGGAAGCTTAGGGGAGACTAGGTCTGTCTTCTTTAGCCTAGCTGGTGTGCCCGTTGCTCGGTAGAACTGGGACTTCACCATGGTTTCCCAGTCAGGATTCTCCTTCCCGGGCACAGGACAGGTGGAGTGGGCTTCTGATGCTGTGAACAAGCTCGGCAAGAGCCACAAACAACAGGTGCTTACTCTTGTGGCTTCCCTCCTTCCAGAGAGGATGCCTTGTGAGAATGCAGGGGTGCAGGCTCTGGGTTCTGCCCTGCTTCTAACCCGCAGCAGACCCGTGACGTTGCCTCTCAGGTGTTACATGCCTGCCACAGTTTCCTCACCTGAAAACAAGGTGTCTATAATACACCTTACTGAGAGGAGCAGAGACCCTGCCAACGCCAAGTGTGGGTCTTGCCTGAGTGTGACATGTCATGCCAAGGAGCTAGACCTTTTCCCCCTTGTCCCCCTTGTCCCGACCACTGATCTGTGCTATTTGTCCTTGCAGGCATTGGCCCAGTGCTGGGCCTGGTCTCTGTTCCACTCCTCGGCTCAGCCAGTGACCAGTGGCGTGGGCGCTATGGCCGCCGGAGGCCCTTCATCTGGGCTCTGTCCCTGGGTGTCTTGCTAAGCCTCTTTCTCATCCCAAGGGCTGGCTGGCTGGCAGGGCTGCTATGTCCGGATGCCAGGCCCCTGGAGTTGGCCCTGCTGATCTTGGGAGTGGGGCTGCTGGACTTCTGCGGCCAGGTGTGCTTCACTCCGCTAGAGGCTTTGCTCTCTGACCTCTTCCGGGACCCAGACCACTGCCGTCAAGCCTTCTCTGTCTATGCCTTCATGATCAGCCTCGGGGGCTGCCTAGGCTACCTCTTACCTGCCATTGACTGGGACACCAGTGCGCTGGCCCCCTACCTGGGCACTCAGGAGGAATGCCTCTTTGGCCTCCTCAGCCTCATCTTTCTCGCCTGCATGGCAGCCACTCTGTTTGTGGCTGAGGAGGCAGTCCTGGGCCCACCCGAGCCAGCAGAAGGGCTGTTGGTTCCCTCCGTGTCACCCCGCCGCCGCTGCCCGTGCCGTGTCGGCCTGGCTTTCCGGAATCTGGGTGCCCTGTTTCCCCGGCTGCACCAGCTCTGCTGCCGCATGCCTCGCACCCTGCGCCGGCTCTTCGTGGCTGAGCTGTGCAGCTGGATGGCACTCATGACTTTCACACTGTTCTACACAGACTTTGTGGGAGAGGGGCTGTACCAGGGCGTACCCAGAGCCGAGCCAGGCACTGAGGCCCGGAGACACTATGATGAAGGTAAGCCTTTGGCACCAGGGGAGGCTGCTGTGGGTGCTGCCCTGCAGAGGACAGGCTGGGGTTGGGAGGTGCTCACAGCCTGGGCCCTGCCTGGTGACAATACCCTGGGCCCCAGCTCCCTGTCAGTGAAAGATAAAGGATTCATCTATGTGCTCATGGATGTGGCCACTATCCTTGTGGTCTCGTCAGGGCGTCCGAGTCTGTGTGGCTCCATTTCCACCGGGCCTTCTGCTCCCTGCTTACTTTCCCAGGAACTCACCATGCCTTCTAATTCAAGCATCCCACAGAGCTGTCTTAGAGCCAATGTGGGGCCATCTTGTGCTCCTCAGCCCTTCTCCTTTACACAGCTTGTACCTCTTCCTTAGTGTATCTTCCTTTGCCCTTATCTGACAGCTCTGGCCACATTCACTGGTCACAATCTGGATCCTATTGTTGTGGGCAGGCAGGGAGGGCCCTGGGCAGCAGGTGCCCATGGCCACTAGTCTCTGGCTCCCCCAGACTTTTGTAGGGTCCTTACCCCACTTCTTCCCTACCCCCAGGCATCCGAATGGGCAGCCTGGGGCTCTTCCTGCAGTGCGCCATCTCCCTCTTCTTCTCCCTGGTCATGGACAGGCTGGTACAGCGGTTTGGCACCCGGGCAGTCTATCTGGCTAGTGTGATGACCTTTCCTCTGGCTGCTGGTGCCACATGCCTGTCACACAGCGTGGTCGTGGTAACAGCCTCGGCTGCCCTCACCGGCTTCACCTTCTCGGCCTTGCAGATCCTGCCTTACACGCTGGCCTCCCTCTACCATCGCGAGAAACAGGTATTCCCATTGGCCAGGCACAGGGTGGGGTGGGCTGAGCCGTTCTGAATGGGGTGTCTGACCAGAGATGTTAGAAGAGGCTTGGCTTTCTCTGACCAGAGAGGACAGCTGGGGCCAGAGGCTCCAGCTGCTGGAGAGGTGTAGATTAGGAATGACTACATCTAGGAATGACTTCCTGGCTTTAGAACTAGAGAGCACTTGAGTGGATGATTGCAGGAAGTGCGGAGTCGGTCGCTGGGAGTCCTGGAGACTAAGCACACAACGGAAGCCCTCCACTCCGGGCTGTATTACTGTATCCAGAGGTAGGGTGTGGGTCCCTGGCGTGTGGCTGCAGCAGATGGCATGGGAATAGCCTGGCCTTGGCTATTCTTTCAGAGAGGAATTGGATCAATCTGTATCTTGCTTGCTGCAGGACCGAGAAGGCTTCTTGCCCCTCTTTCTGGTTTCCCTTCTAATTCTGTGTCTCTGTCCCCCACTCCCCCCACCGCCTCTCCTGTTTTCCCCCTCTGCCTCCATCCCCTCTCTCAGTCCCCTCAGTGCATATCTGATCCTGACATACTGACTTTGTTTGCCTAAGCAATAAACTGAGAACCTGGCTCCTTGTTCCACCAGCCCCTGCAGAAGGCCCCTTCTGTGGGAGGTCTCCTGACCTAAACAGCACGTTCACCTTGACCCCTGCCCTGTCCTCAAACTGAGTTTAAAGACCTGGATTCAGAACTCTACCCTAAGGAGCACAAGTTGCTGTAGCTTAGGGGAGAGGCTACAGGCCTCCCACGTAGTTTTCAGAGTTAGTGAGGACATGGCCCTGGCCACAACCAGTTTACATCACAGTAATTTGCAGAGGTGTGGAGAGGTGGGCTGGGAGTGGAAACCCGGTCCCTTGGGCCGCAGGCTCTCTTGGAGCTCTGGGCTGGGCTCTAAAAGCTGCTGTCCCCTGGGTGGTGGTGACGCATGCCTTTAATCCCAGCTCTCTGGAGGCAGAGGCAGGGGAGCTCTCTGTGAGTTTGAGGCCAGCCTGGTGTACAGAGCGAGTTCCAGGACAGGCACCAAAGCTACACAGAGAAAGCCTAGCTCAAAAAAACAAAAACAAAAAAGCTGCTGTCCAAAGACCAGGCTTGAAGACAGGGTCTGTAGAGGTCTGACTCCAGCAGCAGCTAAAGACAGGCTTGGTCCTGCATCCTGTCTGTCTGTCCTTTACCACTCTCTGAGCTATGGGATAGGTTGATAAGTCGTGAGCCTCTCCAGCCTTGGCCGCCAGCTCCCAGTTCTCTGGTGCAGGCAGCTCCTTCGGTGCCCGACTCTGCTGACACGAAGACCCCCCGTGGGATAAGACCTCATCTTGTCCTGCAGTAGGAGGCCCCAGGTCATTGGGGCCTAGGGTTGGTGGGGTCAGGCAGCTGGGCTGTGTAGGTCACTAAAATGGCCTTCCTGCTGCCTCTCTCTTCTGCAAGGCCCAATTTCTGGGCTCTCTTTGGTCAAAGGCCAAGACAGTGATGCCCTCACCTTGGGCAGTATCTCCAACCAGAGCCTGGACCCTAGAGGAGAGACAAGACAGTGAAGACATCTATGGCCCAGTAGAAGAAGGGGTGTACAGGGGGTCGAGGTAGCCCTTGTGTGGGACTGGGGACTTTAGGAGTGCCTCCTTTGGGTTTTGTTTCTCTGTATCTCGCTTCTGTCTGTCCCATTCTGTCTTTTCTAGAGAGTTCTGTGCTTCTCTCAACCTGCAGATCTGAGTTTGTTGTCTTCTTACCTATTCTAAGAAAAGCTAGAGAAGACTTCAGGCTTCCAATTCCGGGTTTCTGTTTGGATCCACAGCAAGTAGGGTCTCCCAGTTTTCGGATTTTTTTTTTTTTTTGAAGGCCAGTTACCTGGTTTCTTAGAGCCCCTGAGTCAGAGGCAGTGAGGAACTCTCCTCATATCTGGGGATATCAGGGGATCCCTGCACCTGGATCCACACCTGTCTTTGTTTCCTTTTTGCCCCCCCCCCACTCTCAGGTGTTCCTGCCCAAATACCGAGGGGACGCTGGAGGTGGTAGCGGTGAGGACAGCCAGACAGCCAGCTTCTTGTCAGGCCCTAAGCCAGGAGCTCCCTTCCCCAATGGACACGTGAGCCCCGGCAGCAGCGGCAGCATCCTGGGGCCTCCACCTGCACTCTGCGGGGCCTCCGCCTGCGATGTCTCCATGCGAGTGGTGGTGGGTGAGCCACCCGAGGCCAAGGTTGTTACTGGACGGGGCATTTGCCTGGACCTCGCCATCCTGGACAGTGCCTTCCTGCTGTCCCAGGTGGCTCCATCCCTGTTCATGGGCTCCATTGTCCAGCTGAGTCACTCTGTCACTGCCTATATGGTGTCAGCTGCAGGCTTGGGTCTGGTCGCCATTTACTTTGCCACACAGGTAGTGTTTGACAAGAATGACTTGTCCAAATACTCTGTGTAGATGCTGTAAGGCATCGAGGAAGGGTCTGCCTCAGGAGTCTTGGCCTGGAGGGCTGCTAAGCTGGCCTTTCCAGGTCTGTTGTTGCCTAGGTGGTGTAGCTCTCTGCTGCCCCCCTAAGGCTGTGAGGTGTGTAGTTGCACAGATAGAAGCTGGCCCACTGGCCGCGTCTCACATGGGTATCCGACTGAAGTTCCAGGGGTACAAGTGCAGGTTTGTACCAGTGCATTACCAAGGCTCAGAGTTAACGGCTAACCTCCGGCTTGAGTCACCACGGAAGGATTTAGGGACCTGAATGAACTTCCCTCTTAAGTCTCTTGTCCAGATTCTGCCCCTGTTGCTCTTGCATGGGCCTTTCCTCCGTAGGGTTCGACAGGATGGAAGGAGGAAGGAGGAGCCCCAAGAGGCATGATGAGACCCCGTGGTTCACAGCACCGCTTTTCTGCTGAGTCTCCCGCCCCACCTGTTCCGGGAAATGGCTCAGCTTGTTGGCCCTTGTGTTGGCCCTTGTGTTGCCGTCAGGGAGGCACAGGCCTTTAAATATTTAATTTATTTATTTAACAATTAGAAGTAAAATTCATTCCCATTTTGTGTGCCTAGGAGTTGAGTAGGGTGGGATCCCCAAGGATTGGTTCTCCTAAAATAGCCGATACTGCCAGACTCCTCTTCTAGGGTGATAGATATGTTCCCCCAAACTGCCTAGCCCAGTCCCTTGGGCAGTCCTGTTCACCCTTACTGAGATGTCCCCACTCGAGTTGAGGGAAAGGTTCTTCACAACATGCCAAGTCCCACTTTTCTCTCGCCCCAGCTTGGTTCCCCTGCTGCCCCCCACCCAGGACTGAACCCATGACGCAATTGCCCTTCCAACCCTGTCCACTGGCTCCATGACCTCAATGTGGGACTTCTTGAACCCGAAGCACAAGTGTGGTTCCTAAGGCCTCTGCCTCTGCAGCCCCGGGGGCGTATCTGTCACAGCCTGGGGAATCTCACACAAACTCAGGAGTACTCCCTGCCAGAGCCGAGGAGCTCTCGTCTAGGGGGTGGATTTTCAGTGCTGATTGCAATAATGTTGTGTCTTATTTATTTAGCAGAGTAAATATTTTATACTGTATGTGAGAAATCAGAGTATAATGTTTATGGTGACGAAATTAAAAGCTTCTTATATGTTTACTTGGTGCGTGTTTGTCTTTTTTGGGTGAGAAGGGTCCATGCTAAAATCAGCCTGATTTGGTTCCTGGGGACTCAGCTTTGGCAGCTTCAGTTCCATTTGTAGCCAGCAGATGGCGCCATGGACCATCACCCTGGTGACTGGGATGCAGAAGTCTTAAGTGCATCAAGGTACACTTTTCTTTCTCAAAAGAGTCACAGAAGATGAAGCATTCCCAGGACACTAGAGTGTAGCTGGCACATGGAGGCCGGATTTCAGCAGCAGGGTGCAGCAACATTCACATCACATTCTTTTCGGCCTCTGGTCAAGTTCAGTCCTTCCTGCCTTGCTTTCTCCCTGAGCATTCCAATCCTGACTGGCCTTCCTGCCCCCTACACTCTAGAGTGGTCAATACATTAATATCTACAAAAGGGCTCAAGTGGACTTCTGAAGACGTTTTCTATGGGGCTGGAGAAAAGATAGCTTGGTGGTTAAGAGCACATATAAGAACATATTGTTCTTGCAGAGAACCCAAGTTCAATTCCCAGCACCTATATCAGGCAGGTCAAAACTGCCTGTAAACTCCAGTTCCAGGGGATCTGACACCCCTCAGGCTTCCCCTCTACACTGACATACACATGTGGTACACATAATAAAATCCAAATAAATGACCTCCGCATTATTTAACTTAATCGTGAGACTTGTCGAACAGTCCTAAGGGGTGTGTCTGGTGTAACCAGAGCCCAGTTTCAACAACTCAAACCACGCTATTTGTTTCAGCTCCTCTCCATGGGTTGTTTTTAAAAATCATATGGCCAGACCATTTTATTTCACCTGTTAAACTTGTGTATGTAGCTCTAAGAAATGGGGCTTCAGCTGGAGAGCTTGCTCAGTGGCTCCTCGCTGCTCTTGCAGAGAATCAGACTTCATTCCCCAGTGTGCACAAGTTCCTATAACTCCAGCTCTAGGGAGTCAAACGCTTTTCCCGCCTCTGCAGACACCCACACGCACACGTGACCATAAGGCCATGTTATCCAGTGACATATAGAATAATTGCTAAGTATTCAGATCATGCATCCCCTGTACGCTGAAAGATGCTGGGAGAACCTGACAGCCAGGCCCAGCTTTGATGTGTTGAATAGGCCCTTCAGCTGCTTGTCTGCCTTGTTGGAGGAAATGTCACACTGGGGGTGCGTGGGTGAGGAGGTGGGGTGGGGGCTTGAGGTTTCTGAAGCTCAAGCCAGGCCCAGTGTTGCTCTCTTCCTGCTGTCTGTGAATCTGGATGTAGAACTCTCAGCTTCTACAGTACCATGTCTGCCTGTGTGCTGCCTGCTTCCCGCCATGGTGATAATGGACTAAACCTCCGAACCTGTAAGCCAGCCCCAGCTAAATGCTCACCTTTGTAAGAGTTGTTGTGGTCATGATGTCTCTCACAGCAAGAGAACACTGACCAAGGCGGTTAGTTTGAATAAGGCCTCGGTTTATACGCATTACCTTTAGTTGCTTTCTCTTGTTTACTGTGTTCCTGAGTGTCACCTCTTTTTAAATTGCCATTTATTAAGATCAGTGGGCTTTTCCTGAAGTATTGTCCACATTCCCTTGGGCTGGCTGTTTTCTTTGGTGGTGCTTAAACTTAAGATGACCCTCATTCTTTTTTTGTGGTGCTGGGAATTGAACTCAGGGCCTTGGGCATTCAGGGCAAATGCTCTATTACTGTGCTACACCCCCAGCCCCAATGCTCTTCTCCCCTATCCCAATAAGCTGCTAATAAGATAGAGAGACTTGGTTAGAGTCGGGGTTTATTTCAGAAAGACCATATCACAGGCAGGGCTGCATCCTTCCTGTAGCATCCTTCATAGGTATACAATGCCTTGCTGCCCCAGTTTTTTTGCTGTTAATATTGATTAGTGGATGGGTGGTGTCAGCTGATCTATCTGATAGACTTTCCCACCAACCTTGCATCTAGGCCATTGGTGATCATTGCCTAGATCTCATTTCATTAGATGTAAATTTACACATTTCTGCCTCTCTCTGTGTCTGTCTGTCTCTATCTTTCTACTTTCATTTCCATCTTTTGTTCCTCATGTGTGTGTGTGTGTGTGTGTGTGTGTGTAAGAGAGAACGGGGGAAAGGAGAGAGAGAAGTTTCAAACCACAACTGAGGTGCGTATTTAACACACCAAAGCTGGCCCTGGCTGCCTGGTTCCCCCAGCATCCTTGCCTGGTTTCCCCAGCATCCTTCACTACCTGTTAATAGGGTATGACTTGCACACCCTGTACTCTGAACTCCCCAGCCCAGGGGACACTGTGGTTACTCTTCCCTTTTGGACCTTTGGCTCTTGGCTGCTGTGCTTGGTCCCCCTCCCTACTTTCTCCTCTCCCTATCCTTTCTCTTTCCCAGCTCAGTCCAGTCATTTTCTCCTCTCCCTAGCCCCCCGCCTTTCCCAGCTCAGTCTGGTCAGTCTGCTCTGGGCTCTCCCAGACGTCCCTGCACGTCTACAATAAACTTTCTTCTCCACTGTACCTAGGAGCAGCCTTGTCCTTTTCTTTCCTTTTTATTTCTTCTCATATTTGTGTGTGTGTGTGTGTGTGTGTGTGTGTGTGTGTGTGTGTAGCTTTTTGAGACAGGATATCACTTTGTATCCCATGCTGACCTGCAGCTCACTCGGAAGCCTAGGCTAACCTCATTCTCTCAACTCCCCTGCCTCAGCCTCCCAACACTGGAATTACAAGTATTTACTACCACACCCTGCCCATAATTTCCAATTTTTAGTATAGCTTCTTTGTTATTTAAGAACTCACTCTGTAGACCAGGCTAGCCTTGAACTCGCAGAGATCCACCTGCCTCTGCCTCCCAGGTGCTGGCAATAGAGGATAAAACCGCACCCGGCATGATTTTCAACTTTTTAATACTCTGTACTCACTTGATGTGTTTCTTCCAGTAGAAAAATTAAAGACTGATGTACATCTTTAATCTGTGTAGGAACTCAGATCCACCCGCCTCTGCCTCCAGGTGTGCCATCGTGCCAGCTGGAGGTGGTGTTCTCGTTGACGCTTCTGTTGCCCCGTGTCTCCTGTGTTCTTTTGATGTGACTCCAGTGGCCTTTGCTTTTTCCTTGTTTCTGGTGGACAAGGTGGTTATCTCAGTCACTTCCTGCCCTAGGTGTGGACTCCGACATTCCTCCACTGGTCTCTGGTCTTAGGGTAGGATTCCTGTTGGCGTGGCCATTGTTTTTAGGTCGAGTCAGTCTGGGTCAGAGCTTAGTTTTCAAAGAAATAGTACGGTGATCCTAGTATTATTGCCACAGATAACACTGCCAAACTTAAAACGCTTTTTTAAAATGTCCCATTCCATTTTATTTTGTTTGTGTGGGGGGAGGAGGTGTCTGGGGAGCTGCCCAGCTGACATCACAGCGAGCACAAGGAAGCCAGAAGACAACCTGCAGAAGCCAGTTCTTCCCTGTCTTGTGGGTCCCGGAGAGCCGTCCCAGGTCGTCGAGCTTGGGTGGTGGGCACCCTTACCTGCTGCGTTCTCTCACTGGCTCCAACTTGAGATTTTCTTTTGTGGTTGCTTCTGGCTCTGAGATATCTACTATTAGTAATATATAATGAATGCTGTTTTCAAGACAGGGTTTCTCTGTGTAACAGCCCAACTGTCCTGGAACTGGCTCTGTAGGCTCTGTAGACCAGGCTGACCTTGAACTCACAGAGATCCGCCTTCTTCTGTCTCCTGAGTGACGGGAGTAAAGGTGTGTGCCACCACTGCCAGGCCCCAAAACTTTTTTTTTTGAGACGGGATCTCAGCATGCAGTCCTGGCCGGCATGGAACTCACTATGCAGACCAAGCTGGCTTCAAACTTAAAGAGATCTGCCTGAGTGCTGGGACTGAAGGTGTACACCACCATACCCAGATATTTTAAAACTTCTTACCATGGGTAATGTTGAGTACATACAAAAGCAGGCAGAGAATACGTTGAATGAGAAGGAACCACTCTTCAGCTTCAGTCACCAGCCCATGAGCAGTGTCGTTTAACCAGTGCCTCCCGGCACTTCTCCATGTAACGTGGAAGCAAATCTCAGACATCCCATTTCATTAGGAAGTCAGTCTGTCTGTCTGTCTCTTTTCTCCCTTCCTTCCTTCCTTCCTTCCTTCCTTCCTTCCTTCCTTCCTTCCTTCCTTCCTTCCTTCCTTCCTTTTCCAAGACAGGGTTTCTCTGTGTAGCCCTGGCTGTCCTGGAACTCATTTTGTAGACCAGGCTGGCCTTGAATTTAGAGATCCACCTGCCTCTGCCTCCCAAGTACTAGGATTTCAGGCGTGCGCCACCACTGTCCAGCAGGAAGTATTTCTAAAAGAGAAGATTGTTTAAAAAGTCACAAATAGGGGCTAGAGAGATGACTGAGGACCCTTGCTGTTCTTGTAGAAGACATGTACTCTGTCCCAGCGACCTCAGCAGGTGGCTCTCGGCCACCTATAACTCCAGTTCCAGGGGATCCAGTACCTAACTCCTGGCTTCCATGAGCACTGTATCCACACAGTTCACATACAGAGAAATACACATACATAAATAAAACACACATAAATAAAAATAATTTTTAAAAAAGTCACATAGAAACTGAGCATGGTGGTACAGGCCTTTAATTCCAGCACTTGGGAGGCAGAGGCAAGCAGACCTCTGTGATAAATAAAAAAATAATTCCAAGCTGGGTGTGGTGGTGCACACCTTTAGTCCCAGGACCTGGGAGGCAGAGGCAGGTGGATCTGTGAGTTTGAGGCCATTATGATCTACAGAGTGAGTTCCAGGATAGCCAGGACTACACAGAGAAACCCTGTCTCAATCCTCAAAAAGAAAAAAAAAGAAAAAAAAGATAAAATAAAATTCCTGCTATCACAATAATAATTAATATAAGCAAATACCTAGCCACTGTATTTCCCTGTCTTTTAAATTTTGTGTGTGGGTGTGTGTTGTCTGCACATTAGTGTGCAGGTACTAATAATGCCTATTGTTGCACATGAAGAGGCCAGA